CATCACTGCAGCATAGTGGTTTAAATTATATTGGTTTATCGGAGCACACCTTTAAAGATCGCTGGTACAAACATAAAAACTTCTTTCAATATGAAAGTAAAGCTAATGCCACAGAACTTTCTAAATATATCTGGGAAGTAAAAAAAAAAGGGGATTTTCAAATCCTATTCTTACATGGAGGATTATTGATAGGGCGGAACCATTTAAACCTGGAAGAAAGTCATGTCACTTTTGTTTAACGGAAAAATATCATGTCATTACCTCATCTTTGAAACTATTGAATAAACAAAATAAATTATTATCAAAATGTTACCATGATGATTGAATAAAGCGTGAAACTCCGAGTAATGTTACAAATTTAGTTGTACTTTAATATTATTCTAATTATATATATATAAAATCAAAAAATATATACACATATATTTCTAAAATTTTATTTCAAAACAACTGAAAAATAAGAGTAATTTTTTCTACTTATTGATAAAAATCATATTTTTAACAAATAAAACAAAAATACATTTTTTGACTTTTCTATCTTCATTCAATTTTAGATGGGTTTAAAAACTTGTTTAATTTTATATACAAATGTTCTGGGGTAACATGGCCTACTTAAATACACGGCCAGACTTGTTGCTCACAAGTCCATAAAATGGTAGGCCAGTTTTTACGATTTAATTATTATTTATTAACTAATATTATCCAAATATTAAAGCAAGCAAATATATTTAAACAAAATAAAATTTATTTCAACAAAATAACTTGAAAAAATTATATAAGCAAAAAAAATACAGCTATAGAAAAACATAACTTATCAAAAAATAGTTTTAACAAAAAATACAAAAGAAAAACTTAGTCCACCATAAATTAGCTTTAGAAAAAGATAATAATGAAGCTATAGATAAGCAAATCAAAACAAAAATTAAATATACAGAATCCAAACAAAAGTGCATCTATAGCAAAAATTAAGATAATAATTTAAGTTAATTTTTTGTTGTGTCGAATTTTTAAGGCCTCTACGATTTTTAAGGCCTCATGTTTTAGAATCTTTCCATTTTGAATTGATTGTTTGTTATTATAAAACATATTAATAACAGTTTTGTGAATATACTGTCTTCCTGTTTCTAAATGATGAGAACACATAAAACAAATGTTATTTTTGAACAATTCAAGTGTAGCTAAAGCTGAACTTTCCAATTTGTTTGAATATTTAGTTAATAACAATTCTTTAGTGATGTCTAATATGCAAAATAACGAGCAAGCATATTCTACCATGTTTTCACTAGTTTCATTTAAACCTCCCCTTGAGAGTATTTCCATATAAAGTGAAGATATTATGTTAGTTTGAAAAAGATCTTTACACAAAGAATATTTAAATTTGGATTTAATTTTTTTTTGTTATATACCCAGCAACATGAATGATAACTTCCTTTGAACTCTCACATAAATCATATACTTCTATTTCATTTTGTAACAAAAGTAAAGCTGCTTCTAGTTCTTTTGCATCATTATTTACTGGCAAGGCTGACAACACCGGGGAGCCAGGGAGCATGTGCCCCCTCCCCACTTTTTTTCTAAAGGACCTTAAGAAAAATCTTGATATAGAGGACTTTTTTCACAAATTGATGATTGTGTCCGGGGGGGGGGGGACACTTCAAAACCCGTGTCGTCGCCCTGACTGGTACTTCATTATTAAACCATGTATTCAATGCCAGAGTTTCTTTAATTAGAGATTTTATGCTGATTATCCAGTAACTTCTGGGGTTCCCCAAGGTTCCATCCTGGGCCCTGTTTTGTTTCTTATCTACATAAACGATCTTCCTGACAACCTTTCATCTAAAGTAGCTCTTTTGCTGATGACTCAATTTTGTACTTCTGTCTTGACAAAAAGTCTTCTCTTTTCGATCGCCTAGAACAAGCAGCTGATCTTGAATCCGATCTCACTTCAGTAATAGATTGGGGTTCACAGTGGCTTGTGAATTTCAACTCTAACAAAACCCAGTTGTTTACTGCAAACAACTACCGTAATATGGTCAACATTCCTAAATTAATAAATGGCAATCCTCTTACTGAGTCCTCCTCTTTACGTCTTCTTGGGTTATCGCTTATTCCTGACCTTTCATGGAAACCATATATACAATCAATTGCTAAATTAGCTTTTGCTAAGGTTGCTTCTCTTTATCGTGCTCGCCATTTTCTTACTTCTGATTCCATTCTCTACCTCTACAAATCTCTTATTCGTCCCTGTATGGAATACTGTTGTCATATTTTGGCTTGTTCTTCTAATGATTCACTTTCTCTTCTTGACAAGGTCCAAAAACGCATTGTAAATGTTGTTGGACCTGGACTATGTTGTTGGATCTGCTAAGCTTGAACCTCTTTCCCATCGTCATAAAGTTGCATCTCTTTCTCTTTTCTACAAATACTATCATGGTCACTGCTCAAAGGAGTTACCATCTCTAGTTCCATCAACTAAAATTCATTCTCGTTTTACTCGTCATTCAGCTAAGTCTCATTCGTTTACTGTATCTGTCCCTGCATGCTCTAAAAACTTTTGTTTATCTAGATTTTTTCCCCGCACTTCAATCCTTTGGAACTCTCTCCCATCTTCATGTTTTCCTGACTCATACAACCTTCAACTTTTCAAGTCTTCTGTCAACCGTTTCCTTGCTCTATAACTCTGCTCTTTTTTTTCCTAGTAACTCCCAACTTTTTTTTCCTAGTAACTTGCAGCCTTGTTGGGAGTGAATGCAAATAAAAAAATTAAAAAAAAAAAATTTCAAATTCAAAGAATATATTATATATATTCTTTGAATTTGAAATATGTTGACTTATGGAAAATTTGCAAAGCCAGATAAACACTTTGTTTATTTTTTCCTGGATGTAAACCAGTTGCAGTAAGTTTGTAAGCTTTCTTTAAATTAGCAGGCAGTAAGTTATATTTTTCATTAAAATGGTGAAATAACTGCCAACAAATATCTCCAGCTTCAACATTAATTGAATCCTCAAATTTATCAAAATTCAATTTTGGAAAAATAACCCTTTTTGAATGTGATAGATTATTTCTGATGTTTTTTAAATTCTGAACATTATCAAAAAATGAGAAATTTCAATTTGTCCATAAAAATAAAAAATAAGTTTTTTGTAGAATTGTACTTTTATATTTGTTTTTTAAATGCAAATGTATTAGTTGAATGGTTGTCTGTGATGATAGCACAAATTTTAAAATTAGCATCAAAAATACTTGTTAAAAACTCTTCTTTTTCAGTAATCAACTAATTTCCAGAAATACTTGTTTCAGGACAGGCTTTAACTACAAAAAGTATAGAACGTTTAATACCAACTAACATAAAAACTACAACTCCTCAAGCAAAATTCTCCATTCTCACCTTTTCCAACAATTTTGCCACCATGATATTGAACACTTTTTTGCAAGTACATTTCATCAATTAAAAAAACTTAATCTGAGCTTATTTTTTGTTCTTTTAATAAATATTTTAATGTTTCAATTGGTTCGATTCCACCTTGAGTTAATGCTTTTAAATATGAAAATAAAAGAAAATAAAATTTATCTAATAACAAGTTGTAGGCTTGCCTAGAGGTATATTGTAGAACCAAAGCAAGCCAAGTAAGTTCATTACTATATAACTCTCTGCCATGTGATTTATAATGCATAAAACTATAAAGTTCACTTAAAATATTTTTTCTATTTCTTCAACCCAATTTCTCATATAAAAAACTAAATTTTCTAATATGCTTGCATTTGTCAGTGTACACTTATTGTTTTGACGAAACCATTGGGGAAGAGGTATCAAATTTCTTTTATGGTATAATTTTACATGCAGATTGGTATCAACATTAATGCTTTCAATGTTAGTTGATGATGTTATATTTTCAATAATAACATGATAAATAATGCCAACATATATATTCTTAAATAAAAATTTTTGAGGACAAACTTGTTTTGTCAAGTCATTGATTGAACACATCTTATCTAGTTTGAAAACAAATGTTTCAATTAGCAATGAATGAGAATAAGGTGTTTTTTTAGGAATAATAATTAATAATTCTGAAGATAAAAATAAATTTTCGAGGGTTTTAAATCAGTAAATCCATTCTTTGCTTGACTTGAATTTTAATTTGTGTTAAATTTATCAGTATGTAGATATTTTTCCATGATGATAATTTTAAGTGTCAATTAAACTTTTTTTTATTTTAAAATTCATTTTTATAGAAAGTTATTTTGATAGATAAGTTAAAATAATAACACCTCATTACTAAAGTTTATTATTATAGTTTGCTTAAATTAATTTAATAGAAAAGTTTATGTAATAATTAACAATGTAAGCGAATATGACAATTCTCAAAAAAGATATAAACCCATAATTAGTTATGATTCATAACTCATGTTTACTTTTTGTAAGCAAGCTCATTATTACTTGTTTTCAGTTGTTTTTTGCAAATTCATATAGATATGAGTTAAAATTCTTTTGACAAGGATGCCAAATAAAATAAAATTGATAATAATAATAATAGACAAGTAGTAATAGAAAGTACTCATAGGAATTTGTTTAAGATTAATTTTTAAAAGAGTAAGTCTAACACCAACCAACTTAAAAGAGTTAGACTTTTATATAGTTTTGCGTCACTGCTTAAGTATATAGACTTTTTACGAAAAGCTTTGATGAGGTTAAATAAAGCTGAATATTGATAATAAAAAAGATGTTTCTGCTATACACATTCTGTTTGTGTATAAAAGATCTTTTTTTTATGTAAGAGTAATTTAGAAATATCGATTTATCAAGACATATTTTTTTTTTGCAAGTTCAAGTGCAAATGTTTTCTTTTTTTTTCAAAACAGATAGTTTTGTAAAAAATAATACTTTTTTTTCACTAAGAATATAATAACTGTTATTTTTTCATCTATTGCTTGTATTTTTAATAATGTTATTTTAATTTCAATGGAAATTTTTTAATACTTTTTTCTTAATACTTTTCTTTAGAAATCTGACACAATTAAGTTTAAAGTTGTGGCTGCAGAAATTAAAAGACCTGACCAAAATGTAAGCTATTTTTTTGTAATTGAAAAAACTAAAAACAAAATCTGAGAAATTTGCAAATTTAAAAAAAAAATACTATACATAGTAAATCAATAAAAATGATAACAAAGTTGACTTTGTTAAGTCTTCTATTTTTGATATTTATTCCAGAGTTTTTATTCTAAAATTAAATCATTTAAAAATCTAATAATAAATTATGAAACATTGTTAAAAAAATAAGTTAAATATTGTGTTTATATATATATATATATATATATATATATATATATATATATATATATATATATATATATATATATATATATATATATATATGGCTTTTATGAAATATTTCATTATTGAATATATCGACATATGACATATTTTTATGTTTTTTTAGTCAGCACTACAGGTGATCATTCATGTACTTGATATCAATGATAATCCTCCAGTGTTTGAAAAAAATTTGAAAGAAATAAATTTGTCTGAGGTACATTTAAATTTTTTGTTTTATCTATTTAATTTGTGTAAATGTTGTTTGTAGAAAAAAACAAAAAAACATCACTAATTCAACATGATCTTTAGAAATATTTCAAAAGAACCTAAAAATCAATAGTACTAAAGAATTTTTAGAAATTTAAAATTGTCACTTAAAGGGATCCCCAAGTGCCAAGACAAGTTGTGTTCATATTAAAGGAAATGTTTAAAAAAAACGTTTGGGATAATTCTGTATAATGTTAGCCGCAATCTGCAGACTTGATAATTTATTCAGTGTGTATTCATAACCGTTTTGGTATATGATGTCATCACAATATCATTTTAAAATAGTGTTTTTTTTTGTTGTTTTTTTAAAGATATAAGTTTTTTTTTCTACTACAATCAGAAAATTAAATAGTTGTATAATTTTTTACTAAATCACAAAATTTTTTTGTGATTTAGTAAAAAGTTATACAATTAAATTATATTATAATTAAGTTGTAATTAAATTATACAAATATTTATTTTTATATTTATAGTTTTTTTTTTTTTACTTGTTTTTTTATTACTTTGTTTTAGAAGCCAGCCAATATTATGACACAATTTATATATATTTTGTGATTATTAGAGTTAGCAGGCAGAAAAAAATATAGGCAGTATGATGCAGTTTCTCATTTTATATTTAGTTCATATGGTTTAATACAGTTGTTCGTTTTATGTTTAATTATTTTAACATTTAGTTATGGTTTAACTCTTTCATTACCACAAGCCTCTGGTAGCAGCTTTTGAGTAGGCTTCAAAATTTATCTTGTTTAGTACATAAACTTCCATTCTAGACACATAATTTGTTTGTTCTAAAGGTTTAACTAATTCTCTGCATAATCAAGAAAAAAAAGAGCTAAATTGAGTAATTATAAAAAAGTTATCACCCCACAAAGTTAAAAAATCTTGAATAATCCTTCAAAAAAAACTTCTTCAAATTTAGTTATAAAATAAAACAGTGTTAACACTGTAAATTTAACTTTTAGAAGTGTTAAGTATTTAGTTAAGTAATTACCAAAGTATTTTGAAGAAAAAATATTCTTTTTATTCATTAAATGAGTTTTGTTTTGGACTTAATGTTACTATTTATAAAAACAATGGTTTTAAGCACTTTGCATTTCTTTTTATTTAATGATGCGTGTTAGAAACTTATTTAATTAAAAAGTTCATTTTTGTTTATTATTCAAGTTTGATATATAGTTTGTTAGGCTTTTAAGGAGATTTACTATTCGAATTTTAAATAATTGTCTATGTTATGTCATTCAAATTTTATTTTAAAAAATGTGCGGTTGCTACAAAAAGATTTTTGTTTAGCTGGTAGTGAACGAGTTAATAACAATAGAATAGAATCAAATGTAGACATTAAGTCGTTTTGAAACATACATACGAGAGAATATAAAAATCTATGACTTTACTTAAGTCAATTTATTGATAGACTTGAGTAAAGTCAATCATCATTAAACTAATGATAAATATATATATATATATATATATATATATATATATATATATATATATATATATATATATATATATATATATATATATATATATATATATATATATATATATACATATATTTATATATATATTTATTTATCTATAAGCATTTATAAACATAATGGGAATTTCAATCCAAGATTAAATATTTATTTCATTTATAGGATTTGCAAAGATTTAGGCAGCCCCAGCCATAACTCCAGCCCTGACCATGGTTTATCAAACACTGCCCTGTCCCTGGACAAGTATTAGCCCCGGTTGCTTACTAGGAACTAGGAGCTATCATAAATTTAACCCAGAATCTACAGATACTATTAGCTTTAAATGAACAAGTGAAGATGTTGGTATAACATCAGTATAAAACAATTTTTTCTTTTTATGATATTTAATGTTCTCAAACTAATCAGCAAACTAACATTGATACATTGAAAGTTTATTCTGTGTGAATATGATAAGTTTCATTGGATTGGTATGATAAATGAAGTTTATCATAATGAAATTTTTTTAAAATGATGATGACTGATTGTATATATTTTATCATCTGTTAAAAATGTTGTAGCAATATTTATGTAACAGCATGACTGTTTTAAAGGAATTTTCTCTCTATCTAGAGCAGATAAATGTTGAGTTTTAATTACTAACACAATTTATATCATTGATGCACTTGGTACAACAACTGGACAGATATATACTTTGACTGTTGACACATCTAAGCAAATCTTACTACAACCTTGACACTTTTTTTTTGTATTTTATTTTGTAAATAATTAAAAAAAACAGATTAAGTATTAACAAATACAATTTTTTGAAGACAATATTTCCAAAGTTATCTTTATTTTGAAGATAGTGAAAATTTTATTGCAAGGTTCCACTAAAAAAAAGTTGGGCATATGGCCCAGCCCCCTGATTTTTTGGGCTCTGACAACAATTTTAACATGCATGTTTATCAGCACTTCAGAAATTACAAAAGTTTCAGAGCTCCAGCTAGTCTGGAAAGTAGAGAAAAATCATACCCAATATTTTGCTACAAAAAAGGGAGGGCTGCGCCCCATTCTCCATATATAGAAGTACATAAACTTGCAGATTAAAGTCTTTATATTTTCTGAAAGATCAATAAATATAGAATGTGTTAAAAATTTTTTTAATATAATAAAGGCCACATGGGTTTCTTGGGGATTAAAAACAGGTGCTTAATATTAATTTTTATATTTCTGATCATTTTATTGGGTTCATCACTCCTAATAATTTTAAGAAATTTTTATTTTACTAAGTACTCTTTACTAAGTCTTATATTAAGTACAATTGTATAAAAATAAGTACAATTACTAAGTACACACTAAGTACAATTATATAAAAATCACACTAAGTACAATTATATAAAAATCACACTAAGTAATTGTATAAAAATTACACTAAGTTCAATTGTATACGTATCACACTAAAACTGACTGCAGCTGTCTTTCCTAGCTTGTTTATTTCTTTTTATCTTTTGAATGGGCAAAACTTAATAATGTATTTAGCAGGTTTACACTCTAAGCAGGCAGTATTTATTTCATTTTCTTTTTAAAAAATGTCACTTTTAAAATTAAATTTTTTTTTTAGTGTTTTATAACAATTTATAACGTTTTATTTAAAGAATTAAACAATTAAGTTTAGTTCTTTCTAAAAATTTGCGCTTATGCTAAACAATAACTTTTGAATGAACATATTGTTAGAATTTAATGAACATATTGTTAGAATTTAATGGAATACTTATTAAGAAATGTTGACATAAAGGATAAAGGATAGTAGTAGATAATAATTGAATGGTCGCAAAATGAATTTAATTATTTATGTTTAGTATTTAAGTTTAGATTGCACTTTGAAAATTTAAAAATTTCACAAGAGTTTAACAATTAATTAATTTTTTATTATTTAGAGTACACCAATTGACACATTTGTAACAGTCATCCGTGCTTCAGATGTCGACAAAAAATCAGAACTTTTGTATTCATTTGTTAGCGGTAATGAGGTTGGTTGTCTTTTTTTACAACTGTATTTTAACAAACGTGACCTGTTATGTTACTTAGTATAACTTTGATTTTTTTCTTAGTTTTTTTTCTTGCTATCAAATTGTATGATAGAAACACTTTTTTTATTTTTGTTAATAAGTTTTTGCTTTATATTTTAATGCGATTCTTTCCCTATAAGGTTGAAGTATTTTTCTTTTTAGGATGAAGTGTTTTCTATTGATCATTATACTGGTCAAATACGTACAATAAAAAATCTTGACTATGAGACTAAATCTAAGTATCTACTTCGTATAGCAGTTGCTGTAAGTTTTTCTTGCTGTTTTTCTTGTTTTTTTATAAAATCTTATTGGTTAAATATATTGATTAAATCTTATTGGTTAAATATATCTTGCTAAAAGATTTTGATTGAAAAGTTGTTTTAAAAATTTCTTTTACTTTAAACAAAGTTGCATATTTCCCACAATTGTCCCTCATCCCTAATATTACTATATCAGTGATTTTTTTTTTGTTTATTAGAAAATACAATGTTTGTATATTCAATAGTATATATAATATAATAGTATATAATTTATATATATATATATATATATATATATATATATATATATATATATATATATATATATATATATATATATATATATATATATATATATATATATATATATATATATATATATATATAAATGGTTAGAATTCAATAAATATGGCTGCGTATAAACTTTTTTTAAATATATATATTTTTTTTCTTTAATATATAATTATTTCGATATTTCGCTGATCTATTGTGATCAGCGTCATCAGGTATAATAAACAAAATTTTTTTGTTTATTATACCTGATGACGCTGATCACAATAGATCAGCGAAATATTGAAATAATTATATATTAAAGAAAAAATATATATATATTTAAAAAAAGTTTATACACAGCCGTATTTATTGAATTCTAACCATGTTTTAACATATAACAAGAAAATGACATTCAAAGAATATATATATATATATATATATATATATATATATATATATATATATATATATATATATATATATATATATATATATATATATATATATATATATATATATATATCAGCCTTTATTAGAGATTTTGTTGCATAATAGAAAAGCATAATGCAAGTTAATGTAACTTTACTCAATATACATATTTATATTGTTAAATGTTAAATTACATCATTTGCATATTTTAAAGTACCCCATTTTAACTAAATTTAATTTAAAACCATGTTAAAAATCATTTAAAGTCTAAATATTATTAAATAATAAATTAAATAGTATTATTAAAAAAAAAAATTATTTAAATTTAAATGTTTAAAAAAATATATATATCTCCTTATTTAAAAAAGTATATACTTCCTATTTATTTCTTAAAACTTTCATAACACAACATTATTGTCTTATGTTTGCTTTCTCACAATTTATTTTTTTTTTTAAATGAGGGGGCAATTGTTTATGGGTGTTTATAAATAAGAAAAAACAATTATGCCAAATATTATTTGTTATTATTTTTTAAAGTTGTTCCTTTACAATTTTTGTTAGATGTCATAGATGACATTAGATGTCATAAAGTATAGATGACATTAGATGTCATAAAGTAGTTTGATGTTAGATGTCATAGAGTAGTTTGATGTTAGATGTCATAAAAAAACGTTGTTTATGGCAGATATTGTTTTTTTGCGAAAAATGCTGATTTTTGGCAATATTACCGCTAAATTTTGCCAGGACAGGGGGTACCACTGCCCAAATTTTTTTTCTTTTTCTCCTTGTTTTTCTTTGGGTGTTCCGTAATGTTTGTCTATCCATTATTCTTAGGTTAGTAAATCTTGTATTCCATTTCTTATACGTGGATCTGATCTTAATATCTTTCCCAATAATGAGACTAATTGCCAAGAGCAACTAGTCTTATTATTAGGAACAATTTTTCTAATTTATCTCTTAAATCTAGCAATCACATTCTTTCTTCCCCAAAAAGGTTAATCTACTATTAGACATCCAAATTACTTCTGCTTCTGATGCTAAAATTATTTCTTATTTAAACTCTTCTACAACTTGTGGTACAGACAACATACATATCAGACAGTCTTACAAAAGTGTTCCAGAACTCACAGTCTTATAAATATGTTTTCCTGTCTGCTAGAAAAGAACATCTTTGGTTTCATATTTTAAAAACTCGTGCAGACCCCTAAAACTATCACTTAATTTCAGTCTCAGTCTCCTTACTACTATTAAAAATGTATAACAGCCCTCGGAATTACGGTTGGCATTTAACAATGCTGACCTAACTGCTGACCTTAAAGTATTTGAGGTAGGAAAAAAATCGCAAACTTCCTTTCTATGTTTTATTGTAACTCCTTGGTGTCAAATTTTTTTCGGCAACTTTCTGATGTCGACCTCCAACAGTTTAAGATCAGCAATGTTTTGCCAACCTTATATTTCCTAATTCCGATGACTGGTATAAAGAATATCTTTGTTATATAAAGAATCTTTTTTATGATTACTTTTATTAGCAACATTATATAAGAAATATCTCATCTTAATTCTAACAGCTTACTCTCTGATAATCAATAAAGATTTCCATTCTTGTGTTCTACAACTGACTTGTTAACCCTGTTACATGCTTAAAAACTATTCATTCATGCTTAAAAAACTTTTTATATAAATTTATGGTTAATTAGCAAATCTAAAACCTCTACCTTTCTTTTTGTTACAGGATGGTCGATCCAAGGATCCATTGCGACATATTGAAACCACAAATTTAGAAATAAAAATTTTAGATGAAGATGATAATGGAGCAGTTTTTTATACGAATTACACTGCAACAATAAAAGAAGGGCAACATCAAGTAAGATATAACATAAGTTTGTTTTATTTTTGTATTACATCTTTTTATTGTAAAAAATTATGCTGTTGTAAAGTTAACATTTTAAATCTTTATTTTAATCATAGTATTAGTTAGAAATCACTTTTCTGTTTTAACAATTTACTTTGCTGAACTGTTTATCACTTAAGGAAGAAACTTTGTCTTAAAGATCCTAAAAATGTTTTTTACCTTAATAATGATAATACTCTTAATTTTGATCTGTGTTTTGAAAAATTAAAAAACTAGATATCATTAACCTAAAGTTTTAAAGATAGTTTAAATTGTAGATTTAAGCTGTTAAATGATTAACATCTGGTTAATGATGGTCTCAAAATGTTTCGTTGTGGAATTTTGTGAACTGGATAATTTTGGTTTTGACAAAAAAAGGATTTGAAAAATTTGGTTTTAACAAATAACTTCCACCCCACATTTTTAAGTTTTAATGGTGACAAATGCAAAAATTTAATTAAGGTTTTTTACTTTTTATTAAATTTAAAAAAACTTACTAAAGTTTATTATTACTAAAATTTTGGGATGAGCAAGATAAAGGGAAGAGCAAATCAAGTTTCTTTTGTTAGTCAATATTAATTAGAGTCTCCATAATGCTGGAAAATCAAAACTTTAATTTTTTCAATAACCAACATATACCAATATTATGCAGTATTAGTATGAAACATCTTAAAAGTTTCGCCAAAACATTAGGAAACTCAATTTTAACATTTCACAAACCAGGGTTGAAAAAAACATTTTTTTTTTTGAAAAAAAAAACCAAAAACCATGGTTTTTTTAGTTTAAACTCTTTTTTGAAAAAAAAATGACATGTTTAATTAACTTTTTTAATTAAAAAAAAAGCGTTTTAAATTTTACTTGAGTAAAATATATATATTTTTAACAAAACTGCTGTAATTCATCAACCAATACATCATTATTTAATGTTCTGTATGTAAAAGCAAGCTTTCTGGCTTTTTCTACTCCCATTTTTTTAAAAAAATTCTTTTAATTCCATCACTAGAAGCGTTTAACAAACCTTCAATATTCATAATAATGTTGCAGTCAATTCCATCACTAGAAGCTGGTCTATTTAACAAACCTTCAATATTCATAATAATGTTGCAGTCAATTCCATTACTAGAAGCTGGTCCATTTAACAAACCTTCAATATTCATAATAATGTTGCAGTCAATTCCATTACTAGAAGCTGGTCCATTTAACAAACCTTCAATATTCATAATAATGTTGCAGTCAATTCCATTACTAGAAGCTGGTCCATTTAACAAACCTTCAATATTCATAATAATGTTGCAGTCAATTCCATTACTAGAAGCTGGTCCATTTAACAAACCTTCAATATTCATACTAATGTTGCAGTCAATTCCATCACTAGAAGCTGGTGCTTTTAACAAACCTTCAATATTCATAATAATGTTGCAGTCAATTCCATCACTAGAAGCTGTTCCATTTAACAAACCTTCAATATTTATAATAATGTTGCAGTCAATTCCATCACTAGAAGCTGGTGCGTTTAACAAACCTTCAATATTCATAATAATGTTGCAGTCAATTCCATGCTGGTGCATTTAACAAACCTTCAATATTCATGATTTAGCAGCCTTCAATATTCATGATTTAGCAGCCGTGGTGCAGTGGTAGCACACTTGCCTCAGAAACGTAAGATCCGTGGTTCAAACCCCACCTCTGGGCAAGTTTTGTGACATCGGTTGGGAAGGAGGCGTGAACTTCCTATTAAATGCTCTTCCGCGGTGCTCTGTGATAAGACCGTAAGGACTTCTTGGGGCACCTAAAATCAACATAAAAAAAAATCCATCATTCTATTGGTGATGATATTCTATTGGTTAATTTATTTATTATTTATTTTTTGGTGGATACATATTTTAAAACAAATTCTCACATATAGCTTTAACAAAACAGATTCACTATACAAATAGCTTTTATCGAATGGAGCAGATTTGACTTTTCAACTTGAATATTATTGGTAACAAGTTCTTAAATTTTTTTATCTGCAAAGGTCATTGCAGCTTCATTTTCATTTTTAGAAAGATTAGATACAAAATATCTAGGATCGAGCTTGTTTTCAAAGAAATAAGCATCACTGACAGTCTAAAGATATTTTCCAATATTTTTTTTTCAGTTGATAAAAATAACATGTTATCAACTCTTGAAAAACTTTAACAGTGTCCCTAATTTTTGTTTGATCTCTTTGCTACTTATCTAGAGCAACTCCAATTGGTTTTAATATTTTTAACAAAAAATTAGTTTGGTTTAAATTGATATTTTTTTAATTGGTTTAAATCATTAAGTTTAAACCTATCAGGCCCATAGCAACTGGGGGTCAGCAGGGGTATATCCCCCCTTACCCTAATAATTTTTCAAATAAATTAATTTGATAAAAATTGACTAAAAAAATGACTTAAAAAAAAAAAAAGGTCCTTAAAACTATTTTGGGGCCCCTTAATCTGCCTCACACTGCCTCCTCAATATAATTTTTGTTCCTACGGCCTGCCTATTAACTCTGTCACAAACAAATATAGAAAATGTCCTATTTAAATTTAATGGTCAAATTCAACTTGCTTTAAATAGCTTACACTTTTTTTAATTTTTGTCAGAATTACTACTACTGTTGGGTTGGAATGAAATGAATTACTACTACTTTTGTGTTGTCAGAATATTATTAGTTTCTTCATCAACTTCACCAAATATTTTGACATTGACACTATTTGATATTTTGGTAGAGTTTTATTTGATTGTACCTTTGATATATCATTGCTGACCAGACGTGTTCAAACTTTTGCATTTGATAAGAAAATAGTACGCTGTACATTTTGCTTCAATAGCCAAATCATTTGATTTGGCAAAATACTTCTTAGACAGAAGAACTTTGTTTTAACATGTTGTTTTTTGATACTTTATTGTTGTTATGGGTTACAAAATAAACAAATTAAAGTAAAATAAGAATAAAATAAACCACAAACAAAATTTACATGTGCATATACAAATAAAACTTCTTATGAATTACATACGCATAAACATATGTTAGGCTTTGTATAATATATGTTAGGTTATGTATAATTATATTTTTTATATAAATTTATTAATTGTTATTGAGTAATATATGCTAAAATATATTATTTTTATGTGAAATAGCTTTATTAAACATTTGAATGAACAATTATTTTGAATGAAAATTTATTTTAAAGTAGTTTGACAAATTTAGTAAATGGCTTAAAGCTAGATTAATCATACCATGGAATCCATGATGGTAAACATGAAATTTTTAAAATAAAACTTAAAAATAGAGATCAATAATGAATTTAATCATCAAAATAAAGAACTAGGCATAAAATTTTTTCAATCACCAGGTGTAAAAGGTTTTTCATTTTGTAATCACACTTATTGGTAATATAATATTACTGGTTAAAAAAGGTTACTATTGTTTGCTACATAAATGTGAAGCATGTTCTTCAAGTGAAGAAATAATGATCAAGTCTAAATTTATTGTTTATTTTGAGAATGATAATTTATTACTAACAGATTAAACTTCTTATTCAAGCACTACTAGTATAGTAGAATTTACAAGGTAATCCGAGTAGTTCAAGAAACACAGTACACAACAATATTTATATATTATATATATATATATATATATATATATATATATATATATATATATATATATATATATATATATATATATATATATATATATATATATATATATATATATATATATATATATATATATATATATATGCTTTATATCTTAATTTTATTTTTAATTTTATATCAAAATTTTATAATTAGTAAACAAAGTAAATTTTAATAAGAAAAATGTTGTTGTTTTTTTTACGCAAATTTTCAATGTTTTGCTTTTGCAATATCCATCTTACTAAAAACATGTCATGGTGAAAATGGCATTTCTTATAGTAATAAAAATGGCATTTCATGGTTACAAAGTTTTTTTTTATATACATTTTATTAATTTTTTTTTAAGTACCTTAGGATAATAATTTTTCTGTTTAGCTTAAGCTAAAATGTGTGCAAAAAAAAGCTAACATTTTACTTAATTTGATAGTATACTTTAATATACATTTAAATAATAAACTATTCAAGATGTATATTTGAATTTTGTCTTTCAAATTAAGAAAAATGTTAGCGTTATTTGCTTTGCATGCCACTGTATATACAAACACATTTTTGTTAATTTTCTCACCAAAAAAACATTTGTTATTAAGAAATAAAAAAATTCATTAAATAATGGTTATCTTTTGTTATATAAAAAACAACAACTTATAAGCAATAAATTGTTTGTTATGATTTTTGTAAAATTGACTATAGGCCTAAAAAGTATAGAGTTATATAATATGCAAAACAAGTTATTTTTTTATGTTATTAAAAATTTGTAATTTTTTAAGTCCTTTTGTTCACTTTTAAAAATTTTTTGGCGAAGATTTAAGGTGAGGTAATATAGATATTGATGAAGATTTTATTGGAGGTAGTGAAGACTTGAAGGGAACTATTTGACTAATGTATGCAAAGTCAAATAAAGGTCTTACAGTTTTAAGTTTGAAAAAAAATTTATCTCATTTTTAAGTATAAAAGTTGAACAATTGAAAAAAAGACATCTAAATAATGTGAAAATAATAAAAAATTTAAAAACGTAATACATATATCCAAATAACATAATATATATATATATATATATATATACATATATATATATATATATATATATATATATATATATATATATATATATATATATATATATATATATATATATATATATATATATATATATATATATATATATATATATATATATACATATATATATAAATATATGTATAAATATATATATATATATATATATATATATATATATATATATATATATATATATATATATATATATATATATATATATATATATATATATATCTGTGTGTATATGAACAATATGTGTGCTGTGTTTATATAGGGAGAAGTCATTGTGCGTGTTCATGCAGAAGATTTAGATAGAGGGATTAATTCACCTGTAAGATACTCAATTGATCCAAGTAAGAAATCTTTGTCTAAATTTAATAAGGCATACTCACTTCTAAATTTTTAATTTATTGTACTATATTAAATAGGTTCTAATTATGGAAATATATTTTCTGTGGATAGTCAAGGTGATGTTCGAGTTCAAGGATTAGTTGATCGGGAAACTATTCCCATATACAAACTAAAGATTCTTGTGAGATCATTTTAATTTAAATAAACTATTTTTTTTTTTTTTTTTCTTGTTGTAAAAAAAACCATTTTTTTTTTTTTTATTTGTTTAGGCAACGGAAACATTATCCTCATTTGGTAAACATGTGCCAGGTTATACATTACTGACGGTTGTTGTCACTGATGTAAATGATAATCGTCCAAAATTTGAAAATCTACATTATGTTATAAAAGTGAAAGAAAATGAACACTACGGTGTTGTTGTAAAATCTGTTAAGGCTTATGATATTGATGAGGTAAGCAAGATTGTCTGAAGAAATCAAATTGAAAATTTAGTTATCTATGTGTATTTGTATTTTATTATGTGTAACAGATTTACAAAGTTACATTTTTTAATTAAAATTAAGTTAAAAAAGTCTTTTTCGTTTTGGCTTCAAATTGTTATATTTGTATTATATTGTATTTTATTTGTACAAGGAAATAGCAAAAATGGCACTAGCAAATTTCATATATTTGTAAAACCTAAAAAAAGGTTAAAATGTTTTTTTCTAAAAATCCTTGTTTTCATATATTTAAGCAAGTTTATTTATTTTTTTTTAATGTTTTTTTCTTTATTTTATAAAATTAATTAAGCTTAGATTTTATAATTTTAAGTTCATTAGTAAAAAAGGCATTAATGAAAAGTTATTTAAAATTAATATTTAAACATATTTTATTATAAATATAACTTTATTATTCAAAGAATTTTGTAACTTTCTTATCTTAAGTTTTTTTGGGGGGTAATACCTCCCTAAAACCTTTCCACAGAAACTGATGTGAGTTAGCCCTGTAATTTAAAGGTTAATTTTAGGGGGAAAATGCAAAATTTGAGTATCATCTACAAGGTGCTGATGAAGTTTTTGGTATAACTCAATTTGGTGAAATATTTGTTAAAGGAGAGCTCGATAGAGAAAAGAAAGATATTTATAATTTTAAGGTAAATATGATTTTAGATTTTTAAATCAAAATGCAACTTGTTTTAAATATTATAAATTGTTCAAGGGGCATGGGGTGTCACAATCGATGAGGAGGCTGAATAAAAAATATTTTAGTAAATATGATATTTAAATATTACAACCCACTCATAACCCTATGAAATGACCCAATTGTGAACTTTAACAACGATCAATCCTGCTTAAAGAATAAATTTACAATGATGGCTGCTGTTTTTGAACAACAACAATGGCTGGTGCTTAGATAAATAGTTTGAGAGCATTACTATGAGCTATTTAATGAGGTTCAAACTCCATGTCTTTTGATTTCAAAGTATGCAGTTTGCCACTGTACTACCACATAAATTACTATTAGACATTATTATTAGACATTATATACAATAACATAACATTTTAGAAAATATATTACTGATAATAAATAATAAAATTAACTATTCTTAAAGACTTTTGTCTTTTCATAAAATAATATGTATATTGTATATAATGTACATAATACATTACTTACAACTTTAATTAATGACAAAGAAAAAAGAAAGTCATAGTAACAACATCAGTTTTTGCTATACTTACATAAAGGAAAAGATGTAGTTACATCTTTTCCTTTATGTAAGTAAAAGAAAATCTGTGCAACTACATCTGGAAATTTTACAAATGTAGTTATATAATTTTAATTATGACAAATATAACTACAGGATTTTATGAAATTATTAAATTATAATGCAATATTTTAACTAGATGTAGTTACATATATGGTTTTTTTCAGGTGTAGTTACATCTGGAAAAAAATATTAACTAATAATGCATTATTTTAACCAGATGTAGTTACATATAAATTTTTTTTCAGATGCAATTACATCTGGAGAAAATTCTTCCAGATGTTATTGGACTTGGAGTAAAATTACCAGATGTAGTTACATCTTCCTAAAGATGTTTTTAGGGGTCATTGAATTTCCAGATAATACTTTTTGAGTAAAAAAAAAAATACAAATAAATTTGGACAAAAGTGTACAGATGATCTAGGACTTCTCTACAGATGTTGTTGGACAGATGTAGTAATCTTTTACCAAAAAGATTGCTACATCTGAGACTTTTTAAAGTTTATGCAACTAAGTATTTAAATAACATGTAGTTATTAATTTTTCTTTTCTAGTTTTGTATTTATGTGGAATATAAATACTGAAGAATAATAACGTAATTAGTATAAATTGAAACCTCATTTTTAGTGTGTAGTATGAATGCAAAATGTAATATGAATTCAAACTCCAACATATTCCTGGTAGTGCTTGTTTCTTCATACTGTGACTATTTTTTATCAAAGTCAAACTCTTAGTTGATCTATGCACTGTAGCCTGCATAAAAGCTTATTTCATTATAACATGAATTTTAGAGACACTTGTTATTTACAATATACTTTTATTTCAAGGTTTTATATACTATTTATTTGAAGGTTTAAATTATCAATTTTTTATTTTCAAATTTATTCAAGGTATTAGCCCAGCAAGCTAGTTTTCAACCTGATGCGTATGCTGATGTCACTGCTATTGTTGAAGACATCAATGACCATGCACCAGTGTTTGTAAATGCTCTTTATACAGCTTCGATTCGTGAAAATGAAGCAAGTGGAGTTTTTTTGGCACATGTAATTTACTTTTTCTCTTTTAAACTTATGGCTTTTTTTATTATGTCATAAGAATTTTGTTTTAACTGAATGTTGTATTTTTACCTCTAATATTCTTACTTCCAACACATTCCCTTGACTTAAGTTCATTATTGTTCCCTTGACTTAATTTCTTATCTCTAACTAACACTCATACATGTGGCTCACTATTTGACTTGTGAAGATAACTTCAATGGTACCTCAAAAAGACAATTTTATTGAGTATTGTGAACAATAATAGACAATATCATATGATTATTATTATTATTTATTCTTTGAATAACTTTTAAGCTATTCTTCGAATAACTAACAACAAAGAAAGTAAAAGAATAATAATGCAAAATAATATTTTCCACATATAAGTTTGGGTGCCTAAAAATCATAGATCATCCTATAAAACCATCAAATGGTTTTATAGGATGATCTATGATTTTTTAAAATTTTATTTTATTTTACACTAGGTTGATCTACCTTGTCCAACTATAGTACTGTACTATAGCTTCCTATAAGACTTATTGAATAGAATTTCTTGCAAACGTAAAATCTTGGAATATAGAAAGTTCAGTGATTTTAAAATTCATAAGGGAATGCCTCAAAAGTATATTATTCTTTAGTTAGAATATTTGAAAATAAACTAAAAGTTAATGTAAGAGCCTTAGATTTAGTGTAAAATTTACCAATGTTTACATTCAATATGTCCTACACATATATATTTTACAATAGAATAACCAACTGTAAATATATAATAAAATTTGAATAAAGTTCTCATTTGTTTTGATAACTCATTAGGTTTTTCAAAGAATTTTAAATTGATATTTTTTAGCTTTCGGCACATGACCTTGATAAAGATGATAATGCGAAGATAACTTACAGCATATTTCCAGATGCAGAAAATACTTCTGCCTGCTTTCAAATTGGATTGACTGATGGTCGTTTAACAACTAAGTGCTCTTTAGACTATGAAGAAAAAACTTCTCATTCATTTCTTATTCAGGCTTCTGATAATCCAAAGTCAGGTGAAAAAAAGTAAGTTTATGCAAATAATAAGATTTAATAATAATAATAATAATAACAATTATGATTAGTACAGAGATGACTATTATTTTAAAAGTACACATTTTCCCTATTTCTATATATATGTTCTATATATATATATATATATATGTATATATATATATATATATACACGCTCGTAAATGAATCGGAAGTTCATTTACGAGCATGTTTCATGTATTCATCATAAGCACTTATATATATATATACACAGAGGGAAAAAAAAAATATATATATATATTTTTTTTTCCCCTCTGTGTATATATATATAAGTGCTTATGATGAATACATGAAACACGCTCATAAATGAACTTCCGGTTCGAGAGCGATTGCTTCTGATTCATCACAAGGCCTTTATATATATATATATATATATATATATATATATATATATATATATATATATATATATATATATATATATATATATATATATATATATATATATATATATATATATATACATATCTACTATAGCACAAAAAAAGTGAGCAATTGCTCACTTTTTATGCTAGCCTAAATTAAGTGAGCGTTTTGAGGGAAAACAAAGAATAATTAATGAAAAGGTTGCTGACCCATACCAAACCTTCAGTCGATGCAGCACTCCACTGGGAGTCAGGCTAATTGTCAGTCGATGTATGAACTGAAGTCCCCGCATCAGGCTATTTCAGTATGACAACAAACAATTCATTAAAATAAAGGAATTATTGCATGAGGTGGCTTTTGCTGTTTTGATAAAGTAAAGAATTTAATATGCCATTGAATTGATTAATTTATTATTCACTTAATTAGAAAGGAATCCAGATAGAAATGACATTTCATTACAAAATAGTCCCTATTTTCAATATATAGATTATTTTATTACAATATTCAATATTTGATACAAGCAGTACTTATACATCAGGAGAGTTCAATTAAAATTAAAAAATTTAAATAAAAATATAAAAAATTTTTTAGTATATATTTTATTTATACAGTTATTATATTCAAGTTATATACAACTATATACAGTTATATTCAACTATATACAGTTACATTCTATATACAGTTATATTCTTTTTATTTATATTATATAACTATATACAGTTATATTCAACTATATACAGTTACATTACAGTATACAAGTTATATTCAACTATATACAGTTATTATATTCAAAAAACATTTTTATAAAATATAAATGACACAGATAAAAAAAATATATCATAAATAACTTCCACTTCTAATGCTATAAGACATGTTTTTGAGGAGGAGAAAAAATTTATAAATTTTTAAAATTATGGTATTAAAAGCTGACTTTGAGGCTCTAGAAAAAAGAGTATCAGCTTTAGAAAAAACAATCAAAGCTAAAGACGACCAGTTAACAGATAAAAAACAAAAAATAGAAGAAATAATAAAAAAGTTAGAAGATAAAAATTGTAATAATGAAAAAGATAACGAGAAGCTTTGGACTGATATTGTAAAAGGTAAACAGAAGAGAAAATCAATAAATCAAGAAAATCAATAAATTGCCAAAGAATCAAATGAACGAAAAATGCGAGAAAAGAATGTAATTATTTTTGGTTTAGCAGCATCTACTAAAAAAAATAAAGATAATGCATTTGACAACCATCTTTTATTGTAGTCTCAAAAGATAAACATGAATGAAGTAAAGTTTTAAAGTCATCAAAAGTATTAAAAGGTGACGACTCGTTCTCAAAAGTATTCATAAATCCTGATCTTACAGAAGCAGAAAGATATAAAGCAAAACTCTTAGGACAAGAATGTCACCGAATGAACTCTGAAAGAAAACAAAAAAATGAAAATAATTATTATTTCAGTATCAGATATGATCAAATAGTGAAAATCACTGTATAGCAATTACCAAAAAACTATAAGATTAACAAAATTGATTATCATAGACAATCAACAGACAGGAAAAAAAAAAAACATCAATGAAGTATTTAAAAAAATAAATTACGAGTCAAAGTCAGTTAACATCTGAAAATAAAAAAAAAACCAACAATTAATAATAACGACGAAACAGAAAATTTTTTATCATGTTTACATACAAATGCTACATCATTAAATTATAAATACAATGAATTTATTGTTGAAATAGTCACATTTCACCCACAGATACTTTTTATTAGTGAAACATGGTTTAATGAAATGTCATTAAGTAATGTTCCTGGTTATAATATATTTCGCAAAAATTGAGTAGGTAAACGAGGAGGGGGAGTATGCATATACGTCAAAGAAAATATTAAATCTGTTACAGTTTCTGATAAAATATTAAATGATGACAATTTAGAGCAAGTTTGGACATCACTACATTGGCAATGAAAAGATACTTTACGGATGCATTTATAGGCCAGACACAATTGTCTATGAACTTAATCTAAAAATAATATATTCAATTAAACAAACTTTTAAACTACTTTTCTATTAAATGGAATAAAGAAAACATCGACGAACTTATTAATAATTCAGATATTTCTGCTAAAGAGTTCTTAAAATGTTTAAATGATTGTTTTATAACACAAAATGTACTTAAACCAACTTTTCAAATTAATGAATGTAAATTCACTAATGTTCTTGCCCTAATATTAACAGAATCAAACAAAAGAATAATTGATATGAATCATTTTGATAATTTGGGTGCACTTAGTCACGGTCATCAGATCCTAAAGTTTTTTTATTGCTTTAGAAATAATAAAAAAAAAATGGAAACAGTAAAAAAAAATACAACTCTGTACAAATACAGTAATTATAATGGCTTTTACGATATGCTGAATAGCTACGACCGGCATCTTGAGTTCAAAAAATTAGATGCTTATGTTTCATACAACAAATTTGTTGATATTTACAATAAAGGACTTATATATTTCATTCCAACAAGTACAAAGGTAGTTGTTAAAACAAAAGCACGTTGGATGAACTCTAACTTAAAAAAGTTAATTAGAAAGAAAAGAAACCTCTGGAGAAAATGTGTACAAAATCGTTTTTTAAACAAAGGAAATGTAGTAGACTACAAACGAATTAAAACCAAATTAAATTATATGAAACAACCATCGCCTTAATTGTTAAAAAAAAACCAAAAGCAATTTATGCATATATAAAGAAAAAATCAAAAGTTAAAGAAGGAATTAACGCATTAAATGTAAACGGCAAACTTGAAATAAATTAAATCAATAGAACATTCCTTAAATAACTGTTTTAGCTCTGTTTTCACCAATGAAATTAGTGACAATACACCATTCTTTAAAAATAGGACAAATATTATTTGCTATTACCCTACATTTTCACCGGACAATCCTGAAGTCACTAAATCCAAATAAATGTACAGGAGTAGATGGAGTTCACCTTTAAAGGGGTCCCAAACTCCCAACACATGTTGTGTTCATATTAAAGATAATGTTAAAAAAAAAAGGTTTGAACCAAGTTTTTTTGATTAAAAATAATGATCTATTTTTTTCAATAACTCTGAGTCTTTAAATTATACGTCGCAATCTACAGACTTTGGCGATTTCTTTGAAGTGCATTTAATTCATAAAAGTTTTAGCATTTGACGTCACGGTAGATTTTTAACAAGAAAAGTGTAATTAAACAATGCTGCGTTTTTCTATTTTAATTTAAAAAAAAAATTTTTAACATACAGCAAAACAACTTTTACAACAAATTTTTGTAAAAATCAAAAATAATAAAAGCTTTTTATTTCATAAAAGGAACTTTTTTTTTTTTAACAATATCTTAATAATTTTTAGATTTATATATCTTACTTATATTTCTTTTGTTTTTAAATTAAAACAAATTACTAAAGCTTTACTTACGAATCTTATGATTTTCATACGAGTGTTTTACATTATATAGAACATTATGTATACGCGGGGCGTGAAAAATGGTTATTTTTTAATAAACGTTGGCGTTCGTTTTTTTATTTATTGACGAACGTCTAATTTAAGAGGTATGTCAAATATCCACTCCCCCCCCCCCCCTCCTCCACACATACACCCTTTTTTTAAAATTTTTTTTAATATATTTTTTTTATTTAAGAGAAATTCAAGATATAGAGGACTTTTTTCATTAATAGATGGTTGCGCACCTCCACTTCGAACCCGTATGTCAGCCAGAATAAGCCAGTTTCATTTTAACTTCTTTAATTTTTTTTTTTTTATTTAAATAATTTTTTTATCTAATTATAAGGGAGTTTTATTTTCAAATTAATTTTATTCTAGTTAATAAGATTTATAATAATTAGATATATCAAAGATACTTATCGAATTTTATCAATTTTTATTAAAATTAATTTAAAACAATTTTTCACGCATTTGCAAAGTGTGCGCAAGTTAATGATAATATGCAATAAACTTTTCACTGTAAACTGTTATCTATTAATACAAAATAATGAATTTTTCTTCATTTATTTTGTTAAATTATAAAAAAAAGATAAAAACTTGATAAAATTTAAATAAAAGGGATTTATATAAAAATAAAATAAAAGTTATTTTGACATTTTTATTTTTTAAATATTTAAAAATAATAATATAGTATTAAGCATTTAATAAGTTATTAAATTTATAATTTAATAAGTTACTATCAAATACCTGATATGCTATTATTATATTTATAATATTAAGTATTTAATAAAAAAATATTATATTATTGGTTGTTGTTAAACGCACAGTAAAAAATGAAAACTATAATCAACATAATAGTTCTATAAAATCTATTAAATTTTATATATTTCTGCAAATTTTTTTTAAAACTTTAAAAACAGCAAATAAACATTAATTTAATGATAATAAGAAAATTTAAAAAAAGCACGCCTTTGAAAAAAGAATGTTTTAGCATGGTTCCGTTTAAAGTAATTGCAAATGCATTCATTTTAAGTTAAACTTGACATTCTTTTGTAAATGCATGTAAGAACTATGCTAAATATAATTTTTTAAATTAGTTTATATAAAGTTTTAAATTTTAGTAACTTATTTTTT